GGAAGGCCAGCATGATGCCTTTATTTCTTTGCAAGCGGCATGCCACTGGGAAGGAAGATTTTTATACCACATAAGGGAACTCAAAATCTTGGTGAACTCATCTTCATGTTCTTATGCACCTTGAAGGCAGAAATCTACACCTGGGAGTCTGACTTGACCCCACGCCAGTCCATATTGGCAAACACCATTGCGATTTCTCTTCAGAATAACATCTAAATCAGACCCAAAGTCTGCCTAGTGAAGTATGTTTTTTTTCTTAGCAGTGGCTGACAGCAAACACTTAAGGCAAGAAAAGGAGGATGCAAGCGAGTATGATGTGCCTCTTTCCCAGTTATACCCTTTCAGCTTCTGATAATCACCAATTAATGATTTACTTCTAGCTTATCACAGTAGTCATCAGTGGGCTTAAGTTAGCTACAATTTTTCCTATAATATGTTCAGCTATGTGAAATTTTTCAAGTCTGCACTCACAGCAGCAAGACAATGACAAATCCTCGCAAAGGAAGGCAAAACCTGATCTACAGCACAAACGTTATGAAAACATGGAAAACTTACCAGCCTGATCTTAGGCGACAAAACAGACAGAATAATTCAAATATCCCTGAAGAACTGTGTAAACAGAGCAAATACTTAATTAAATTTATTACTTATGGCTTGATTGGAGCCTGGAGTCAGACCCTGCAAATAAAGCTCCCCTCTATTAGGAGAATATAGGAAATTAGGAAAGATAACCTTTTATGAAGTAAGGAAAATAGAAAAAAAAGTAAAAAGCCAACACAAATTAAGAGCATTTCTTTAAACAAGTCAACATGTATCAATCAGAACTAGGAAACACCTCTCTCTACCTGAGCAGGCTTGTACAGAATAATTTAGGTCAGAAGAGACCTCTGGAGGTCTCTAACTCACCCTTGTCCAGTTGAGTTTTGAACATCCCCAAGGATGGGGTTCCCACTGCCTTTCTGGGCCACTGTTCTACCACTCCGAGTGTGAAAATATTTCTCTTTATAGTCATCTGGGATTTTCTTTAATGCAGCTTCAGCCCACTGCCCCTCCGCTTTTTGCTCTGCCCCTCTGAGAAGAGCCTGGCTCCGTCTTCTCTAAACCCACCAGTGAAGACAGCTGAAGAACAAAATACAGGATGCCACCAGAGCCAGCCTGAGCAAACGCAGCGCTCGCCATCTCTCACCACGTGACGTGTGCTCCAACCCTCTCACCTCAGCAGCCCTGCGATGGACTCACTGCTGCCCAGCCCTGCACACGGTACTCCAGGCGTGGTCCCACAAGTGATGAACTGAGGGGACTTAATCGCTTTCCTTGACCTGCTGAAGACTTTTCCTAATGAGATTCCTTAATTGGTGCAAGGGTGCAGGGCTGACTCACAACCAACTTGTTCACATCCAACATGACTAATGCGATTACACTGTAACAACACGTATGATGTTTATAGAGTATTTAGGAGATGTGTCTATAATGCTAGGGCATCAACAGACAACTTGATTGCTCAGTGCTATGTCGACTTCTTTTTATCAACTCATAATGTTTTACAAATGTCTGGCATCTGATACTTTGAGAAGAAGGTGGGGGAATAAAAAAATAAAAAAGAAAAAGAAAAAAAAAAACAACCCCAAAACGATCCAAAAAAGAAGTGGAGGTAGAAATTGTTGTTTTAAGGAGATGGTAAGAGACAACAACTCAAGTATACAGACTTTATGAGCAACAAAATAACAGCCAGAACTTACTCTACAAAGTTAAAAGCAATCTGTGCCCTTTACAGAAGAAGAACATATTAAATAACTACTTCTCTACTCACAGAACAGAAAGGTAGATCTAGTCTGCCACCAGATCCACTTCAAGGGAACCCACACTAGAACAAATTGCAGTAATTCCAGGTTGGCTACAAGAAATTGCAACTGAATTGCAATGCTACAAAAATGAGGCTTAATTTTCAAGAAAATCCAGAGACAGAAAGACAAAGACGACTCCCATATTGTGGAAAAAAACCTAGAACAAAGGCTAAATTCCAGGATGCGCTCTCCACCAATTCTTTCACTACCACATACGCTTCTCCCGATCACATCAACATCTGTTCCATTTTAGCTAATTCACGTCAAACCCAGAAGTTATTAACTGACTGCAAATTGTTCGTTATGATCTTTCAGAATAAAGGCAACGGACTGCCACGAACACCCCAATAACACCTGAAGTCCTACTCTTTCCTTGTACCTCTCAAAGGTCAAAGAAAAACCAAAATAGACTGGGGCAACCCAAACGCTGACACCGTGGGACTAAGCGTCTGATCCCCCAGTTAAGCCATTTGCTATTTTCTCTGGTGAGAAGGTGATGTGGGAAAGCAGAAAACTGGTATTTACCAAGAAGCTACAGACAAGGAGGATCTGCCGATCTCCAGTTGTTCACGAGGACTTTAACTGTTTAACCTTGAGATAGGATATTGATGCATGATGAGACCAGCAGCTATCTGACAGTGACAAACAGAATTAAGACCAGATTATTCTACATTAGATGGTATAGCCATACGATTTTAGTGGTGTTACTTTGATCCTGCATCACATGAACTTATAATCAGGATCTAGAAGTTCTAGTACTATATTTATTCTTCCCTATTACTTTCAAAAGGCAATGCTTGAAACAATGCCTTTTTTTTTTTTTTTAAGATGGTATAGTAAGCAATATTTCTTTTAAAATTGCAGCTGTCCAACAGTTTGAGTCTGTTCTTTTTAAAATGAAACAGCCAGAACAAATGGTGGTGGCAATCCCAACGTAAAGAGGCCATCGATTATTAAAATCTCCTTACTATAAATCCTGGATGTTGCTTGTCAGTTTGGTGTGTGACTGTAGTATGAATAAGTAGGTAAAATTCCACTAAGGCTATAGTTTGCTCGATCCTTCTGCTGTGCAAAAACAGAAATAAAAGCTTCCCTGTCTTTTCACTCCTTAGTACCAAAACATTCATACACACATTAAGAAAAAAACCTGCAATGGTGCAATGGTTGCTGATCTAATTCCTTTCTTTCCTGAGTCTGCCCTGATGCTACTTACGAATTTGCCTACTCAAGAAATGCAATAAAACAGAAAACAGACAGCTTCATTCTGCTTCAGTGATCTATATCTAAGGAAAGCACATAAATTTCCCAATGAAATCCATAAATGAAAGACGAGGCCAAGCCCTACCTATATATCTTCAAAGTTACAGAGACAAAGAGGTGCCAACTCCGTGCCCTCTGAAAGCACAAAATCTCCTCCACACTTACCTAAGCAATTTTCACAAGATTAACAGATGTAAAAATGATCCAGTTAGCCTACACCTTCAAGGCGTTTAGGCTGGCTAAAAACCTGCTGAGGAGCCACGTTTTAGGAGTTCACAAAGCGACCTGATAGTTAAGCGCGAGGATGGGATGAGAACAAGCCAAGGAACAGCAACTTCCCCTCACTCCCTCCACCTTCAGAAGTGGAAGGGGGAAAAGGGAAACCCATCCTTCAGACTAAGCTGCTTTCCCCTTTTTAAGCTATTCCCACATCAACGGGGAAGATAAAAATGGAATGTTGTGGAAACACTATGCAAATTTTTATGTATCTAGATACAAAAATTTACATAGGTTTTTAATTTTTATTTTTCACGTAACACAGTCCTGCCCGTCTCTAATACTTCCCGTGCTGTTTCCATCGAAATGCTTCCTCTTACCAGCAGCAACATATCATTTTATCAGGATGCCAGAAGATCATTTCCACACAATGCCAGCAGATGTAATTTTCTTAGATGCACACACAGTTCATCATTTAGATACTAGATGACAAGGTGATCGCAGGGTGACTCTGTAATGCAAGTTTGCTGTTTGGTATTTTGAATTCTCAAATGATAAAAAAAAGACTTATCAAATATAAATATCTTTAAGAAAAAAGTAACAAAAGTGCTACATATGATCAAGGAAAACAATTCCATTAGTTTCTGCTACTTAAAGTAGGTTTGCTTTACAAATATTACCACATCCATTATCAGTATGGCTTCCAATTATTAATTAAATTGCTCGTAGCAGTATAGCTTTCTCACATCTTAACAAGGACAGAGTAAAGAGAACACAAAACATTCACACCCCATTTCTCAGGTAAGAGATCCTCCTGCCTTTAAACAAACAAAAAAGAGTTCGCATTTAGGAGAATATTTATGCTATGATGGTTATCTAGCAAAGGTCAGATGCAAAAGTTCTCCAATAACCTTTCAGGCTAGTCAGGACGTAGGCATTAGTTACACAGACGTGTAAAAATCCACTCACCCATTTTATGACCTTAACACCTTCCTGGAAAACATTGCTTTTGAAAGTGGCAAAGTGGGGAGGGTAGTAGGGTGGGGACAGAAAAGGCGAGAGGAAGAATAAAAGGTAAAATTGTTAATGACAGATCAATAGAGTCTAGACCTCTTCTGAGCAGGCACTGCTAGCCATGCCAAATAATGAATAGTGGTTTTGAGAAGTGGGCTGTTGCCCATTAGACATTCAGCTCATTTTTCATATGATCCCAGGCTGGGTTTCAATCATGGTCCCAGAGGCAGAAGGCAGTACTTATCCACTAAGCCACGCAGCTCGTGAGAGTAGAGGATGTCTGTGTTGAACATGTGAACACCAACCGAAATATGGGAATGTGTTTCCAATGGACATTCTCAGCACAGCACCCAAAAGTAGATCAAGTCACTGTATGACCAGTGAGGCACGGCTTATTGCAGCTGGAAATCATTTATTCCCATGCTGAAGTGGGGTTTCTAGTGTTCTTTTTACTCTCTGTTGATACTCCCGATTTGGTGTCCATCGACCCTGTGCCACTACCTCAGCTTGCATCCTTTCAGTCTCGGAGAAGGAAAAGCGTACAGACTATTTTTCAACACAATCTCTAAGGGTATCCAAGATTTTAAGTGTAGCCTAAGACTTGTAATTGAGGGCTGTCTAAAATACCTGGAAGCACTTTGAATGCTAAGACAGAGCAGCAAGATTTTTCTAGCCACTGGGGCTGGGAGAGGGAGGTTGGTTGGTTGATTGATTATTTATTGGGAATTAATACTGAGAGAGTATATGCAAAGGCTGAGGGCACCATGCCATCTTCACAGAACAAGACCCTAACAGCTAACTGACGTACAAGAAACTGCAAAGTTATACTGTAAGAACACATATTAAGGACCGAGGAAAGTCTGCTAAGGTGCTACGTCTAAAACTAAGTTACTTCTTGCTTTGACCCTCCCCTTTCTTTGCATCAGTCGTCGTCTAGAGCCTCTGTCTTGATCTCGTTGGCTCCTTGCCGGGCCAATGCCAAGATGGTGTGGTTTACCGCTGCCATTTCCACGGCTAATGAAATGGGGTCTTGATGGTCACTATGGCTAGTGCTGTCATCCTGTGCATGCGGAAAGGAGAAGAGAGAAGCATTGTTACTCCATAAGTAGAAAACCAGCGGATAAAAACTTGTGTGTAAAGTAATGGACTAGGGGCAGCAAACTGCACATTTGTTGCAGGGGTAGAAAGTGAAAGGAATTTATAAAATTGATTTAGGACTGATTTCTCTCACTGCGCAGACAAAGGTAAGCAGGGCAAGGAGTGGCATAGCCAATTTTCAAAAGAGAAATTTGAGGGTGGGGGATATTCTGAGGAAAGTATTAAATTATAAAGATAAAAGTGACACACCACATAGGTCAGGAAACTGAACTAAGATAGGAATCATTATCCACTGCACAAATTCATGCTATCCCTACATTTTGAATACTGTATACAGTTCTAGTCATCCCATTGAAAGAGGACGCAATAGAACTAGAAAAGGTAGAGAGAACAGCAGCCCAGGGGAAGAGAGGCATGAGGTGGCTTCCTTACAAGGAGAGGCTAAATAGACTCAGGTTCTTCAGTTTGGAAAAGAAATGGCTGATGGTTGATATGGTAAATGTTTATTACAAATAACTAGTAAATAGAGAACTGTTTGGGGCTTCTTGGGATCTAATAAGCAAAGGCACGCACTGGAATGGTAATAAATTGCAAAGCAGCAACGGGGAGCACTGCTTTACTTATCACGGTTCAGTTGTAGGATTCACCGATTTTTACAACAAACAAAAGTAAAAATGGCTTTAAGGGCAGGGGAGCGGGGGTGCATGTTAGACAAGTTCAGGGAAAATTAGTCTACTAGGAACTATCAAAAATGAAAGCAGATACCGTGGTTGGCCCAGGGAGCCTCTCAAAACTACTGACTTCAAGAAGCTGGAACTGTAATAAAATCATGCTGTTCTTTAAAAATACTTTTTCCTTAAATACTACTACTGACCACATTCAGAAACAGGTTACAAACCCAGACTAACCCTTGGTCTAAACCAGTATCCTATGAAGACACTGAATTCACACAAGTATAGGGAAAAAGATGCTGAAAACCTCCTAGACTGTTAAGAAAAACAGTGCAATGATTTCAGGGGACTGAAACTACCAGGGTTCAAATATCCAGGTGAACATACTGCCAGGTTCTCCGGTCCGCTGAACTACACGCCATGTATTTCTTTGCATCCATTCTCTAAAGAGGAAAGCCTCTCAGCTGTAAGAGGACTGCCGTGTTGACGGCTGTGATGGTTGGCAAGCAAAACTAAGAGAGAGAAACTGCTGCTACAGGACTGCAACGGCACTTGTAAAGTCACTAAACAAGAAGGGCTACCTTCCACAGGTGTGTAATGGCCATACAATAGCAGACCTGAAAGTCCAACAATTCTAGCATAAATTTCATAGTGAGCTGTCCATGTTTATCCGTCTACATCCGCAATAGGTTTTGGTTTTGAATGACAGGAAGGAGAATCAGCAATACCCAATCTCTAATCCTACCTGTCAAATAAATTCTTATGGGACACTGGCAAAAATCACTGTGTTTTCCCCTCTTTAAAATGGGGTACAAATAGTTAGCGCACCATGATCTGAATTTTTTTAATTTACAGAAAGGAAATGATAAACATTTATCAGTCTTCCAACAGCCTTTAAGTGATGAACTTGCAAAATGTAAAATTTAGAATGTGTATTACACATTTTTAAATTATGATGCCAAGTGGCAAATGCTGAGAGGGACAGAAAATCCTGAGGTTATTTAAAGGAATGCATTAATTTACAACAAGTGTAGGGCAAATATTGTGTTGTGGACACACTCTAAGGTCCTCTCAGTACTCTTTACCACTGTAATACTCACAAAGCCCTGACTCTGGAAGTTTAGTCACTTCATTAGTATTTGGATGAAGTTTGCGTTCTAAAGTTTACTAGAGCTTAAGTGGAAACTTTAACGCTGTGGAAAACAGAATTTATAGTTTTAACAGCTAAGGGATGTTAAATGGTCATCAGGAGAACTTCCCATTTAATCCGCTTCACTGCTAATGCCTAATTACACTTTGTAGAGGACCCCAGCCAGATTATTGAGAAATTCAATTTTTAAGGACTCTAAACAAAGATCTTTAAATTTTAACAACCAACTTATTTCTCTTTTCGAAGTATTTTGGATAACACACAGAAGAAAAAGATAGTTTGGGAGTCTACATAACACTTCATACTGAGGGACTGAGGTCCTGTCTCTGGCTGATAAGGAATCAGCCGTGCTCGGCAGCAATTTCAAAATATTTTGTCAGAGAACAGCCTCTCATCATCTACAGCTAGCAAGGTGGATTCCACCAAATCTGCTGGTGATGACCTATAAAAAGGGCCTTAATACCCACCAGAAGCAGAGTGGCTGGGAATGCCTCTGCCAGATATCTGTTGTCCTGGGCCCCAGCCAAGTCTGCCAGTGATGCATTCCAGGACACTCCGTTGCCATTATACGCCACCAGCAGCCTTTAGAGAGGGAGAGCCACCTACTTCTCCCAAACGAGTCAATTAAAGGCGATCTGCCCACCCCAGATGCTGGGTGTAGCACAGAACACGGCTCATATCAAAACCAGAACCAAGTAAGTGAATCGTTCAAGTCCACTGGTGCCAAGCACACACGGCCCTGAGGGGTTTTGGCCAACACTGACACCTGAAGGAAATTTGGGAAGGGGATGCAATACCTGTCAGGAAGGTGTGTGAAGAAAGGGTCACCAACTTTAGGGTAGGTGAGGGCTCAGAGTGCGGGAAGGGGTATTCTTTTGCTAGAGAATTTAAAAAAGAAGTTGCTGTCAAGGGTTAAAAATAACCAAGAAAAAGAGAGAATAGGCAAGAATTAAAATGCAAAAAGAAAAAAGAAGGAAAAAAAGACAGATAATACGTAAACAATCCAAATAGTGGCACATCCTTGATAAACAATATAAAACAGGTATGGGGCCAAATAAACGTCAAACCTTATTTAATCAAATCCTTTCCCCCCACCCTTCACCCTTTGTCTGTCAGTGTTTTAGGGATGGGCCCGAGACGCTCCTCAAAGGTACTCCCACAGCCAAAGAGAGGGAGCTCAGCACCTTATAGGAGGGTGCTCAGTATCCTGCTGGGCAACGTTGACAAAAGGGATTATGAAGTGTACTGGGCAGGGGCTTACGTCTGCGCTGCCTGGGTGCCAGATACGCGACTCGCAGTGGCTGCAGCACAGGCTGTAACGGGGACTCTCTTGCAGAAAGAAATAATAGGTGCAAGAGGAAAACCCGTGCCTGGTTTTGCAAGGAAGCGTGTTGGTGCCTGATACATAGGAGCAACTGTTCAAGACCTGTACATCCTTCCTGGAGGGCGGGTAGCTAGAATGGTGCCGGGGGGAAGGAGAGCGCAAGTGATGCATGGCGCACTGGGTGAGTTAACACTCTCCTAACATTTTTCATACATTGCGTGTGGCGTGAATGGTGTAACTTGCTTGTTTGGAGCAGATCCTCCTGTCTTCTTCTACCTTCTCTGCTTCTCTGCCTCCCTCTGAACATCTTCCCTCCTCCTCCCCATTGCGTACTTGCCAAGTGTCCTGTTGTATGACAATAAATCCATGTGGGTGAATACTGGTTGCTCAACACATTCAAACAGAGGAGCTGTGCTCTTCCACTTTCCCCATTACAATTACATAAAAGCAAAACAAAAACAAGAGACATCTGATTTGCAAGAGGTAGAAGGTCTCTTCAACGTGTCACGTGAACTCTCCCTTTTTGGGCCATGAGGCTCGGCCACGATGCTTACCTGCTCTGAGTAGTCATTGCCATCAACATCGTCACTGTTGGAATGACCTCCCGGACTCTGTACATCTATTCCATGGCTCTCCAGGATTGCTGCTTCTTCGAAAAAAGCAAATGGATCCCTAATTTATCTGATGCATTAGAGTAATTAAAAGTAACTACTTTTTTTTCCAAGAGTTTAGAATAACTGGAAGAACAGAGTTAGTTCTTAGCCTCTTCCTCTTCACTGTGAAGGTAGCACATGTACAGATACTGGTTTGCCTGAAATCCTTCCCTGCCAACTAACAGACTTGTTTGCGAGTAAGAACTTGTTTCCTAGCCAGTCCTATTGGAAATTAGCTTAATTTCTAATGCACTGGAGTGGCAAAGGCATTCCCTGTAGATCTTCCCACACAGTTTAGACTGGCAAGACTTGAGGGGAGCAGGGAGTGTCTGAAAACAGATGGAGAAAATTTTTAAAGCACTTAAGGGATTTAAAAACACACAGATCTTCATCTTCCAGTAGGATCCATGCATCTAAAGGACCCTTTGGTTCTTCTTCATCTCCTTCTAACCCTCCTCCCCATGCAGGTCAGATACAGCTATAACTGCACCCACCTTGGACTAACTTTGCTTTGCTGTTGTGTCCCCCACCCCCGAACAGGTTTCATTTAAAAAAAAAAAAAATTAGGTTAAATTTCAGTACCACATTAAATGATGTAAAAATACATTTTTCTTATTCACAAATATGACAAAAGGAAGCAGACAGCAACGATTTGACATTTGTCATAACATTTGACACAGCAGACGGCAAAATATTTGATGGTTGCAAAAGGAGTGGTTAACAGGCAGGTATGGATCTCTGTTTGCCCACATATTGCAAACGTAATTCTGCAGAGCATCTAAGTAAGTGCATAAAACTTTGCATGCATTGCAGATTTCTTGAATCCTGGTCTCTAGTGTGAGTTTATTCTCATTAGAATGTCTTACGTTTGTTCACGTTAGAAGGTCTACTTCTGACAAGTTCAGAGTCACTTCTAATTTCCTTACCATCAGCTCCTCGGGTAAAGAACCTGCGGGGCTAACGCTGAAGTGACTTTTGTTTTAGCCTGATTATCAAGAAAAATTATTACTTTGTTCCAGTCACTTGTCACTGTGCAACCCCGTGGAAAGCAGTAAGGAGCACAGGTGTAACCCGAATGAGAAGTTGGGTTGCAGAGCCTTCGGACCTAGTGGTTGGAGCTGAGATGTAAAACAACTCATCTGGACTCAGAGTCCTGTGGGGTCTCAGGGATGGCAGTAAGAAAGACACCCCCAGGTTTTTGGCTGAAAAAACGAGCATATTTCAGTGGAACACAGACACAAGGAAACGTACAACCAGATGAAAGCTCTTCACAACGGCCACTTTTCATTTAAACAGCACGCTAAGGCTGCGAACTTGCAATCGTCTCACTTTCCCTCATTTCCAGTGCAGATATTTTGAGGTTTTATGTTAGATTTTATTTTGGATACCCAAAGGACCCTGAGCACAGGGAAATACGATTCTCCTTCTGCCAATAAAATTCTCACTTTGGTTTTTAAAAATGATCTTCCAGTAAAACTTCATAATGGCTTCATTTTTTCTGCATCAATGATTGAATTCCATAAATCAAATTCTTACCCATATTTTAGAAGAAATCTGGAACAGCAAGAGACTAATTTTAAAAATTGCTCTGCATTTCTTAAGAATGTCAGAACCTCTAATATTTTCATTAATACAATTTTGTGTAATTTCCACCTCTCCTGAGCAAGTCTATGTATTAAACCTTGGAAGCAGGCTCTCTGATACATTACCGATATTGGCTCTTCTCTTGATTTCCTTTCTTCTGTTGGCAAACCAATTGTACACTTTAAGGGAGGTAACTCGCTCCAAATCCGATAACTTTTTTCCTATGAAGGCAACAGTGAAGGAAAAAAAAAAATACAGCCTTGTTACTCACTGGATTCCAGAGGTAGGCAAATGGCCCTTACACATGTGATAAACCCCTGAAATACAGGCAACACTGAAAAGTTATTATAATTGAGAATCAAGTGAATTTTATGTGAATCACAGTACTGTGGCCAGATGCTATGGTAATAAATGCCAAATATCTCTCTGAAAACAAAGTAGCCTTTCTTCTGTTTTTTTAAAATCTGAAATACAGGAATTTCTTTGCAGCTTCAATCAACTAAATCCAGAGCCGTAGGAGAATAGAGGGCTGCTTTTCTAGTTCAAGCACAATGCTGAGACTCAAAAAACTCCAATTCACTTCACAGCCCTCCCACAAATCGCATACCCTTGGGCTAGCTCTTACTGTGTGCCGCGAGGATATAGTTCAATGACGTGTTTTCTTCAGCAGCAAAATGAATGGAGGGGTTTTGTGTCATCCCCTCCAATCTGCTTTTCCTTCCCCTGCACCACCAGCTGCTATCGCGCTCCCACAGCACTAATCACACCCTCCCAATTGTGCCAGGACACTTGCCATCTTTTGGGAGAATGGGCGTGGATGCTGGGAACCAGATCACTGGAGTTTTACACTTAAACCAGAAAAAAAAATAATAATGCCAACAACCGCCAGCCAGCTACAGGAAACAATGCCTTCTTCTGATCACCAGCCTCAAAGAGGGAAGACTGGAGCGATTCAGCGTTGTAAAGACATCATGGAAACCTCTTCAGCTGGCCTTGACCCTATGTAAAATATTTAATGTAGCTGCATCCTCAGTCCTCTGCAGGCTACATGGGGATGAGACTCCCCTGCTTCAGACTGTTTCTCAAGGTTTATTTATTCAGCATACAAAACATTTGTGTAATTGCAGCAATCTGCAAACGTAAGTAAGAAGAGAGGAGACAAGTGAAAGAGAAAAATCTGGAAATGGATAGCTACGCTGTTTCCTAATGCTTTGTGTCGGTACCACTCACAGTATGTTACTGATCCTGAGACACAGTCTTTAAGCACTTGGTTCCAAGTTGCTCAACCAACCAGCGGCATAGCCAGGAATAAAATCCTAACCTCTCTGGGGCTCTACCTGATAGATCATTCTGCTTCCACAATGAAGAGACAAGAGGCAACACATAAAAGCTGCAACACGGGAAATTTTGACTAGGTCTTAGGAAAAAGTATTTTGCCACGCGAGTGCTCAACATTGTGCAACAGGGGCCCAGAGGTGGGAAAACCTCCGGTTTTGGAGATATTCAAAACTGAATGAGGTAAAGCCCTGAGCAACCTAATCTAACCTGGTCCTGCCTGAACAGATGATCTCCAGAGGTCACTTCCAGCCTAAATTGCTCTACGACTCTGTACTATCCTGTGACTGTCCCAATGTTCAGAAGTCATGCCTTAGCTTTCCTTTGGCTTAATTTTTATTCTGGTTATAAAAATCTAAATGTATCCAAAACACAAACTTCTGAAAACTACGTAAATGTTTGGTTAGCAAAACTAAGCAAAGGCAGGTGCGTCCACTAATGCTACACTGAACATTCATGCTCCTCTGCCAAGTATGACTTCTCCAGGAACAGGGAACATGCAACTTGTTGACCCAAACACAAGGTCCTCCATTAAGACACAGATTCTAATATAAGACCCCTGTCTAGAAGCTGTGAAGAAAATTGAAAGCCAGGAAAGCTGTGCTCCTTACTCCTCCGAGGACCTGCTGTATGATCTCCAGCACGCCCCAGCCTGTGAACCTGAGGTTCCCCATCTGTGAAATGGAACCAGTAAAACCCACTTTCATGGAGTGTGATAAAATTCTCAGATCACTACTAAGTGCTTATAGAAGTCCTTTGAAATAACTGAACGCAAAGAATGAAAGCCTTTCAGACATGTTTATTTTCTTAGCAATGCCATTTACAAAGCTGTGTAAGTGAAATGTTCAGATGCACAACTTGGATTTCATACCTCAACTGGTGGGAATTTAAGTTTCAGACATCTGCATTTAGGTTTGAAAATTGCATCGACTGCCACGTTCAAGTATGGCAGCTTCGAACAACACAAGTTATAGAATGCTCAAGAAGAAACCTACTACTAGTTGAGAGCACTACATTTGTTGTAATAGCCATAAAATGAGATTTGCTGAATTTAGCAGGAAATGTTGAAAACTAATTGCAATTGCCTTTGGAATGGACACCACGATCAGCTCCTCACCTGGCTTTTGTATAACTGCGTTACAGGCGTTCGCAATTTCTTCTCTCTTTGCCTCATCTGGATATTGATTCTCATTGAAGTAACTGCAAGGGGGGCAAAAAAAAAAAAAAAAGAAAGATTTTTTTTTTCCAGCAATCAGAGGATGAATGCTCCAAAGCAGGTTCACTAAAAACAGTTAGCTTATGCATCACTCTTACAGACTTAACACAGACACAGTAAATTCTCTGTAATAAGGTAATAACGGCACGCGCTCATATCCACATAGAGTGGGTAAAACTTCCCGAACGCCTCAGCTAAAGGACTATTATCTCTGCAGTTGCAGTTGTCACTTTGGCATTCGGAATATTGTACCAGGAGATACAACAAAGTAGGCGATGCCACGAATATCAGCTAAGACTGTCAAGTGAAGCATCATGTCAGAAGACCTCATAGGCCAGGTCTCTGCCTTTTTTTTAACCATTTACTTTAGTTTTTTCCTGACATATTCCCAGCATAGGCAATATCCTGCAAATGAAGGAGCTGTTCAATATTTATTTTGATCCCTGGGTTAATATATACACACATACATACTTGTATAGATCCTGCACACACACACACACAAATACTGCATCTCTGAGACAGATATGGTATCAAGATCGTACAGACAAAATTACACAGTAATTCAGTAAGATTTCTAGTCAGACTAGTTTTTTTAAAGCACAATTTAAAAATTTTAAACCTTCCTCAGAACAACATATCAAGTATAGCATATTGTAACAGTATTTTTTCTGAATAATTGTGATTTAATTGTACTTTATATGCAGTAAACATCCTATAAAATTTAACCTGTTTTCTCTTTTACTTCATTTAAGTGCTTTACAAATTTTAATGAACTGATTTACATTCTACAGAGCTTATCAGATTTGCATTAAAAACAACAAAAAGTCTTGTTTACTTCAATGGACTCTGATAAGCATGCCGTAAGCAGGGAGTACTGTAGTTTTTCTGTAGATTGTCCGTAATATATAATCCGATTGTCCGTAATATAAGAATTCTTTGATCAACTTTGCTCAGCAGCAGGTTCAGCTGTTGGACAGCTGCTCTGTGTTTGACAAGAAGGTACTTCCTTTAATTGCAGATCATTTGGTAGTTGGGAGAGTTAGGCATATTTAGGCAATTATTATTTTCCATGGTCATATTTCTCCTCCAGCGGATCGGCCGCAGCACAGTTACTTTATGCGGAAACCTGGATTCTGTTCCATACAGCAATTTTTTCTGTCCAACTTTCTTTTGAGTAAGTGGTACTAATGCAGATCTTGCTATTTCAATCCCCATTTATTTCACTTTACCGTAAATACAGATTTTGAACATTCAGTTCGAACTTTAGGTACCACTTCTTCATCCCATTGTTCACAGTGTTATTTACAGTTGCAGCTATGCCCACAAACAGAGTCCTGTTTCAACGTTGCTACTCATTGACTAAGAGAAATCACACATTAGCACAGCTAGTTGCACTGTTGAGGTACTTCCACTTGATTTGCTAGCTTAGGGAGCAAACGAAACCACAAAAATAGCTCCATCTTCACTAAATGAAGGGCAGACTATGCCCCTACTACCGATTTGGGCTTTGGAGGCAATCACATTTACACATAAACATCCACTACTTCTTCCCTGGACGTCTTGAGTTGCTCTTATGAAGTAAATCCGGAGAGACTGACCGTAACTGCAATTCCCACTGAGCTTGAACCCACTCTGAAAAACAGCTGAGATACTTGTCATTAGATCTGAAGAGGAGGACACCTGGTTACACTTACTTTCTGGGAAGCTTCAAGTACGTAGCACTGTCAACTCTTGGCATTGGCACCAGCAGGAACGCTCCCTGAACTGTCAGCAAGAGATTTTCTTTCCCCGCTGCTTTCAGCGGTACCCCCAGCCTCTGGGGATGGCATTTGTAAAAACATATTCTCTCCTCTTCCAGACATATCGTCCCTTCCATTATTATATCCTTTAAAGTGATATGTGTGTCTGTCTGAATTTTCTGATAAACTTCTTTTCAAAGGGGTCGTGTTCTGTACAAAGGGGTTTTTTGAGAATGAAGAACTTGAAAAACAGACCAGAAAATGCTTTTTCTAGTAGTTAATGATGGAAGCAGAAGCTCAGGATCCCAGTCCAACTGCCTCATTACCACTTCTCAGCTCTCCCACCTACAAAATAGGGAACTCTGCTCTGCCCAGAGCCAGGGACTATTTCCTCTTTTAAGTGCCATGAGATAAAGGAACATCACGACACCGCAGCTGAAAACTGGTGTACTATTATTTACGTGAATATATTGTAAGATCTGGAGGCCTCGTCAGGAATCCAGGTCTTTACTGTGTGTACAAAAATTAACTTGGCAAATTTTGGTAGCCGTAACAGCTATTGCATGGACTCCCTTTTGCTGAACGTTATTTATTTTCTTTATAGATACTTGTCAAAAGTCATGAACAAACACCACAAAAGAAACCCCATAAAATTAGAAAACCTGATGGATCTACACAGTGATGTACTAAAACCAGAAGCTGAAAGCCTGGTAACGTGCAATAATACGGATCTAGACCACCTGTGGTCACAAAGTTGCTAGACAATGCTTAACGTTATGAAAGAAATGACAAAATACGTAAAAATAAGAAATGGTGTATACTTGAGCTGCCCATTCTTATGTTGATGCAAGAAACCGAGACACCAATTATGAAGAAAAGACAACACAAGAGCCGCCAGTGATCCTTCTCTTGGCACGTAACTAAATACTATCCTTTTAGCAAGCCACTGACTGCTTTACGCTTTTGCTGGCTCTAACGAAAAAGCTCACATTTGCTAATACTAACAAAACTCAGGCTCAAGTTTACAATTCTCCAGGATAACAGGAAATCTCCCTGTGCTGGAGCTAACTTTCAGAACTGGACAATGAGTGAGACACCTCTTCTGGCAAACGAGGAAGTTTTCTTTGTATAGTTCAATTGTTTTTGTGATTTAGAAAAAAGTCACTGCTGAAACACTAATTCTTATCTTAACACATTTTCACAGAATCGTAGATTCTTTGGGCTGGAAGGGTCCTTTTAAGGTCATCTAGTCCAACCTTATTTTCCAACTGAATAAGCTATAAACATTTTTATTTGATTGGATCCAAACATATTTTTCCTCATTCTGAAACATTTTCTTTAAATTCTAACACAAATTTCTTATCTTCTAATGTAAGTGTCCAAAAGTTTCTACAAGAAAAGTGATTACCACTTGAAAAATCTGAAATTGTTTTCATCCTGACACCCTGTTTTACGAAAAAACACCAAAAATTTCAGAAGTTTTCAGGCAGCTCTCCTGGTAAATAAGACATTTTCACGGAGATCACAAAGCTAAGCAGGTACCAGAGGGGAGGCGGAAGGCAACCTCCCGAGTACTTAAATTCGGTTTCTGTAGTTGGCACAATGCCTGCTGGCTCATTCCTTATCCACATTAATGACGTGCCTCCTCCTTGCCTCACACATTCAAGCTGCCTATAAACTTGTCCATCCCTCAACTCGTGCTCCTCAAAACTGTATCATCTCCTCAACTTCCCCTGATAATATTCTCCTCCATCACCATACTGTGCTTTTAACCTTTGACAGAGTGCAAGCTGGTTTTATTAGAGAAGAGATCATACTCGGGAGTTTTCAGTCTTAAGGGAAAAGGTCTTGTAGCTACAGGTAACCAAAAACATACACCCTCAACCCTAAGAGCCGATTTTCATCCTCAGCCTCCAAATTCTCCGTATACACCCTCTACCAATACATTCATGTTTCATTCCCACCACTTATTTCAAGGTCTTAACAGGACTGCTGGGTGATATACCATGGCACAAAACACAACACTTAAAGCCTCCCAACGTTTCTGGAAAGTAGGTGAGAATAACTGAGTTTTCAAGCTAGAGAAGCCATTGAAAAATTTCAAGACTTCACCATTGACTGTTTTAGTTTGCTCATGTAGAAGCTGTAAAAACACTGTGAATTTTTTACTACAGTCCTTGCTAGAAGGAAATAAATTAATCTGCCTCCAGTTCTGTTTCTTATCAGCCAGGTATACCCTTGCTAAAGAACGTGGGATGTCTGAATTTCTCTTCACAGCTACAGACCACAGCCTGTTTACAATCTGAAAAGTTCCTGAAAACTACAGATGAAGAATATGAAGCAATATGAACTTAAAAAAAAAAGAGCAGACACAAGTCAATCCTGCAAAGGCACACTGCTTTCTAGACAAAGGGCGGCTGTCAGCTGAACACCTTCGATGAAGAAACCAAATGATCTCTTTTGTAGAAAATGACAGTGGAGGATTAAAATGAAAAGTGGCCAAATAATTTACACGAGATGAGAATCCATATGATGGTAAAGAATGTAGATATCCTTGAAGCGGTTTCATTTCAATAACACTGAAGCCTAGAAAAATTGCAGATTCAGAGAAACCCTCTTTCTTTCAGGGATAATGTGTTTAGGACAATGACAGAGAGAGAATCCATCTCAGCCCCGGGCTCTGTAATGGAAGTAAACTCATTCCCCCCTCCCTCTTTACCAAGGTGCCCCTATCTCAGCTCCTGCAATAGCTGCCAATCTTTTTTTGCTTGGCTGTACGGCTCCCGTTATCCAGGCTTAGATATCAGATGCATTAAGCAATGCCTCAGTAGTGTTCCTGATAATCCACAGTGGAAGTTTTGCTGCTTCGTATCAGCTCACAGCTGCCAGGGAAGTGTCTGAAACAACCCAAGCTACGGAGCAGCGGAAGGACGCCCAGGTTCGGTGCTTTTTCATAGGGCTGGATGTCAGACACAAACAGATAAAAACCCAGCACTGCTCAAAAGACCCCGGGAAAGGCTTAGTTTACAGCATGACATAATGGTTAAAGCTTCGAAGTGTGGAAGTGATTCAAAGCAAAGAGGCTCAAATGTGTTGAGGGTAACAATTCACCGCGGGTCAGCTGTTACGGCAGAATTACACCGGCTCAAAGTGAGGTAATTCAGGTATGAGCACATCAGGGCAATCTCACTGAAAGAAGGATAATTTACCTTGCAATTAACGGGCGGTAAGAACACACAGGTGGA